CCAGAGGAGGCTGGAAGGGCATTCAGACCGCATGTGTCTGTGTAGCAGAGAGGGAGGGAAGAAAGGTAAGGGAGGAAGACTTTCGGGCTACACAACAGTACCAGGAAGTTTTGGCAGGGCCAGTGGGGAGTCCTGGAGCCAGTCACCTGTCACAGGAGTCCTGGCCTCTTGCAGGAAGGGGCCGGCCTTATGTCCCTGCTGTGCTCAGTCCCTGGTGGAAAGCAGCTTGTGAGAAACATGGTCCCCACATCAAAGCCATGGTGGATTCAGAGCACGGCAGCTGGGGCTGTGTTAAATTAAGCTGCTCAAAGCCTCATCATGCCTGAAAAGTTCAGTCTTCATTATTCCTCATCTAAAGCATCTGCATGCATATGGAGAGATGCTAACAATTTTATTAATAGCAATAATAATAGTACTTCCCATTTATTAATATAAAGCTCTTTCATGTACCAGGCACTGCACTATATCATTTACATGCATTGATCATTAAACAGCCCTATGAGATAGCTATTATTTTAGAGTTGGGGACTGTTATAGGCATAAAGCTCTTTCATGTACCAGGCACTGCACTATATCATTTACATGCATTGATCATTAAACAACCCTATGAGATAGCTATTATTTTAGAGTTGGGGACTGTTATAGGCTGAATTCTGTCCCTCCCTGTCCCCACAACCAATTCATATGTTGAAGTTCTAACCCCCAGTACCTCAGAATATGACTATATTTGGAGATGGAGTCTTTAAAAGGTAATTAAGGTTAAATGAGGCCCTTAGAGTGGGCCCTAATCTAATATGACTGGTGTCTTTATAAGAAGAGAAAATTCGGACCAGAGATACATAGAAGGAAGACCATGTGAAGACACAGGAGAAGACAGCCAGATACAAGCTAAGGAGAGGCCTCAGAAGAAAGCAAGGACTGCTGAAACCTTGATCTTGCATTTCTGGCTCCAGAATTGTAGGAAAATAAGTGTCTGTTGTTTAAGTCACCCAGTCTGTGGTACTTTGTTATAGCAGCCCTAGCAGACCAACAGAAGGATGTTGCAGCTTGGAGTGGTCAAGTAACTTAGCCACAGTCACAGAGCCAGCACATGGGAGAGACAGCACTGGGCTCCTCTCAGTCCACAGCCCATTCACTTAAATACTCTCCTCTACCAGGTCATGGTGGCTGGGCAAGGACTACAGAGTGACAGATGCAGATGACAAAGTGACTCAGGAAGATCATGGAGACAGAACACAGCCTGTTGTTCTGGGAAACACACCTGAATGGAACCCAAGAGACCAAGACAGCAAAGGATGAGGGTTTCACATATCACCTCTATCCTCTACTGGCTGTGTGATCTTGGCCAATCTGCTCCTGCTTTCTAAACTGCTGTCATAGTCTCTGTCAAACGGGAGTATTGGATTTCCTATGTGTCACTGAACTATACTAATAATTGAATAAGATAATTACATGAAAGTGTAGAGAGAGGGAAGGGCAGAGGGATCTGCTCCTGCTTTCTAAACTGCTGTCATAGTCTCTGTCAAACGGGAGTATTGGATTTCCTTTGTGTCACTGAACTATACTAATAATTGAATAAGATAATTACATGAAAGTGTAGAGAGAGGGAAGGGCAGAGGGAAAGAGCTGAATTTGCTTCATACAAATATTAATGTGGTTGTGATATATTATTCCTGTTTTAGCTAATGCTAATCATACTATTATAATAATGGGTCAGTGTTAGAGCATCAATTTTCCATGCTCTTCAAATTATATATGTTCTGTTGCCAGAAATTCATAAAGACCGCTGGAGCAGCACATTATAACCACTCCTATCATCCAAACGACTCTGAGAGATAAGAGCATCAAGTACAATCCAACAGAGTGGACTCATTCAATAATCACAAGGATTAATGTAATAAAAATAGCTGGCATACATTGAGTTTCATTATGTGTGCGGTTCTGTTTTAAATAGTCTAAATGTTCACTTATGACAATGCTAAGAACAACCCCATGAAGAAGAAACTATTATAATTCCTACCTCACAGGTGAAGGAATCAACATAAGAGACAAAACAGAGGAGTTGTCAGAGATCAAGGAGTGTGGAAGAAAATAAAGTGGCCCTGGAGGAGAGAGTGATGTCAAATGCTGCTGATGTGTTGATTAAATCAGATGAGGGCTACAAATGGCCTTTGGAATTGAGCCATGTGAAGGGCACTGTTGCCCTTAAGATTAGTTTTGGTGGACAGGTTGGGGATACCTGGGTGGAGTGGGCCCAGGAAAGAATGGGAGAAGAGGAATCGAATACAGTCACTTCAGGGTTTTTCTAAAAAGAAGAAGAAAAGGTAGAATGTATCAGCATAAATGCAGGTAGAAAGCAAGTTAGGTGGTGGTGGGAGGTTGTTGAATTATCTTCCGATTAATTTAATGTTCTTGCACGTTTATTAAGCTTCTACTCTGAGCTACAAATTGACATTGAAAGCTTCTTCTCATGTTTTACCTTTGTTCTTTACTTTTCTTTCAACACAATCTGCATCACCCAGTAATTACAGCTGCTTCTGTATGAGTCTTTCTTCCACACCAGCCTAAGACCTAGGGGCAGGCAGAGAACATCTCACATTCTTTATTGTTCCCCAACGCTTAGCACAGAACCTGACACACAGTAGGCTCTCAACAGATATCTGATGAACTGGATTGAATCCAGTATAATTGTTTCTCTATACATGTGCTTTAAGCCTGATTTTGTTTTAGTCATAAGAACCTGCCAAGATTATCTTCTATATGGATTGGTGGGAAAATTATTCGTGTTTCAGTCCAACTATTCTGTTAATCATTGTATGAGCTATTTATTGTTGAATTTAGCATTTATGAAAACTTGTAAAGATTTGCTTATTTTTACAAAGACTTGAACCTTAATTGGGCCATGGCTCTTTCCTCAGAAGGGTTACAATACATGAGAGGATACAAACAGCTCCTTTTACATTTTGCCCAACTACATTTTTTTTTCCTAATGAAGAGGATAAACGCATTGTAATGGACATGCCATAATCAGAACCTATAGAAGTTGGTGAAAAATCCTGCCATTTGGATAAACGGTGCCAGAGGACCACCTGCTTAGAAGAACCACCTGAAGAAGAAAGGACACATAAGCGACTGGGTGTGTTGTGATAGAAAATGTACCTCCCACCCTCCACATGGTATTTATTAACACTTAGAAAAAGAGGAAGGAATAAAAAAGGATCTGCAAATGAATTAATTTTCTCCTGTGTGTCTTTTTAGCAAGCTTCAAGTGACACTAAAATCTACGTCAAGTATAACAGCTGGGTCACGCCATGTAGATGAAGTCTGTCAATATTCTTTCTGCAGGAAATTCCATGCAGCATGTTGTTAAGGATGTGGACTCTGGACTTGGGTTTGCATCTTGCCTCAAGTGACTTAGTTTCCTCATCTACAAAATGGCATGATAGCATTTCTACCTCACAGGTTGTTATGAGACTTAAATGATTTAATGCCTATAAAAGCCCCAAATATTTGCATCTTGCCTCAAGTGACTTAGTTTCCTCATCTACAAAATGGCATGATAGCATTTCTAGCTCACAGGTTGTTATGAGACTTAAATGATTTAATGCCTATAAAAGCCCCAAATAATGGGGCCGGCCCGGTGGTGCACTGGATAGTGCGCCGCTTGGGATTGCAATCCCATTGCTGGTCCCTGGTCCGGTACGGGGGCAACACTGAGGGTTGCGATCTGTTGCCGGACACGGAAAAAGACAAAAGACAAAAAAAAAAAAAAAAAAAAAAAAACCCCAAAAAAATTTTTAAAAAAAAAAAATTTTTACCATTTTATTTTTTTTTTAAAAAAAAACTAAAAAATTTT